ATATGCCTACAGCAGCACATCGAAGATTGCCACCAAACTGGGCTGGTACACGCTACGTGGGATCCATGAGGCCCCTATTCTTCCTCTTCCCCTCTGATGAGGGAAACCACCTAGGAATGAGGGTGTACCATGAGTTGAGGCGTGAGAAAAGGAGTATTGATACCAGTCTGACCCGAAACAGTGGTCAAAAATGGAGAAAGGATGAGCGGCCCTCTGAGAGAATCAGACGACATTATGGCCCAGCTACTTGGAACCCCAATGAGCTGATATCGGGAGCCAGAGAACCGATCGGTAACGTTCACCTCGCAATCCACTTACAGGCAGTATTACACTCAGCTGATGCTTTGGACTCGTCAGCTGACCAATCTACCCACACGAGAAATGCCATTTTTCAACATTGCACGGCCGAGGAAGGAGGAGTTTGGGGGAAATTAAATGAGTCAAATTGTTGTCTGCAAATTGACGATAACGGGCAAGCAGTAAAAAAGATCACTCAGGAAATGAGATCAGCCCATGTACCTGTGCAAAAATGGAAGGGATGGGATTTTGATCTGTTCTCTTGGCTACCCGGAGGGCCTTGGGTGAAGCGCTTGATGTTTGCAATTTTGTGTGCTTTTATGGCGCTGTTAACCTTAACCCTGTTTAATTCCGTGTCTGATACAAATAATAACACGGACCATTAATGGTACGCACGTAGCTATGGAAGGACACGGACCAACCAAAACACTGCGACTCATTACCAAATCAATGGCCGATGTTCCAGAAGAAAATACGCAGGATACAGTATTGTAACTTCCCCATCTTTGCCTAAATCTGGGATAGGAGCACCCAGGCCCACATGGCAGATGTGCTCTGCACAAGAAGGGGCGGAAGTTGCCCCCGACCCTGGCAGACAGCAGAGCGCGTGGTCAACGACCCCAACATCGACCACAAGGGCCGCGATCAATCAGCTCCGTAAATAATGGATCATATGTACGTGGTTATGGCAGTCCATCTTGGGGCTAGAATTTTGCTTCTTATTGCTACAATTGATCTTTTAATACTCTTTTTCTTGCCGTGTGAATGTCCATGGGGGCAATCGTCTCCTAATCTCCCAGAATCATAAAATTGGTCTGCATCATGTTTTGGAACACGTTGATCTGTTGTTAAAATGTTGAATTGTTAAGATGTTATTGCGCCTCGTGTTATCTCTATAATTTCTCTTTGTTATCTCTATAATTTCTCTTTTCTTCTCCTCTCCTTTCCTCCTCTTTACTGTCTCTTTTCTACAAAGTTTGAGCCACGGGATGGAATTGTAAGAATTAGGACCACTGAAATGGTAAGAATTAGGATGACTGAACTTTATGTTTGTCTAAAACTCTGTACCTTGGGGTTTTGGAAAGGAAGCAGAGACTCAAGTCACCACAGTGACAGACGTGTTAGGACCCTGGGCCAGACGACACGGCTTCTGGAAAATCTTTTATGTCACTACGCGGTAACAGTAAAGGCAGGAAATTGTTCGGCTGATGCGCCGCAGCTCGCCAGCTGTGTCATGGAGGTTGCACAGACGGCCAGCTCGTGATCGGCACGTGGACGTGCCGCTGTTGGATTGGATCTCACTGCTTGATCGCAACCCATCACCATCGGATTGGCCTGGGGCGATGGTACAAAAAAAAAAAGGGACCCTCAGCAGCTTCTGGAGAAAAAAAGCAAAGGGAAGCAAGAGGGAAGCAAGAAGAAGCAGAAAGGGAAAAAGAGGAGTGGAGCGGAGCAGAGACTGAGACCTGCCTGCCTGGACTGGACCGCTGCTAGATGGGAAAAAACACCAGACGCTACAGATCCCCC